GGGGGGGGGGGGGGGGGGGGGGGGGGGGGCTGAGGGGGTTTCCTCTCTAATCAGTTCCTCACAGAAGCCGTTGACTCCTGGGCGCATGCCCCCATGTTTGGCAGCCCACCAGACCCCACCAGACCCCCCTAGACCCCATCAGACCCCATCAGATTCCACCAGACCCCCCTAGACCCCCCCAGATCCCATCAGACCCCACCAGACCCCACCAGACTCCATCAGAACCCCCTAAACCCCCCCAGATCCCATCAGACCCCACCAGACCCCATCAGACCCCATCAGACCCAACTAGACCCACCCAGACCCCACCAGACCCCCCTAGACCCCATCAGAACCCACCAGACCCCATGAGAACCCACCAAATCCCATCAGATCCCCACCAGACCCAACTAGACCCACCCAGACCCCACCTAGACCCATCAGACCCCACCTAGACCCATCAGACCCCATCAGACCCCATCAGATCCCACCAGACCCCACCAGACCCAACTAGACCCACCCAGACCCCACTAGACCCCATCAGACCCCACCTAGACCCATCAGACCCCCCCAGACCCCACCAGACCCCATCAGAACCCACCAGACTCCATCAAACCCCCATCAGACCCCCATCAGACCCCACCAGACTCCATCAGACACCCATCAGACCCCACCAGACCCCACCAGAACCCCCTAGACCCAACCAGATAAAAGCCAGGCCCAGGCTTTGCCTCCAGATGGACCAATACCTTCACGTGGGTCACGGTTTTAAGTCAGAGGTAACTTTTATGGGGGGTTTTTCTTTTAGTTCCGAGTGGAAAAAAGCACCATCACGCCTTCAGGGCCGAGCTGAGTCATCCCCCAGAGTCCAACAACAAACAAACAAACCCAGAAGCCTGAGTCAGGTTCCCATCAATCATTCAGAACCAGATTTCACATTTCAGGCTTCATCTCACTCCCAGAAACGGGGCAAAAGTGGGCAAAAAGTGACATCCCACCAAACCAGGAAACCGCGCACACACACACACACAACGTCCCAACGCGCAGTCTTTGCGCACACAATTACTCCTCAGCCCAGAGAAAAAAAAAAGAAAATAAAACATCTGTGCAAATATGGAGCAGCAGGGAGAGACTCTCCAGGCTGGACGCTTCCGTTTTTTTTCTGCGTCAGAGTCGCTCCGTTGGATTTAAAAAAAACCTGGAAACGTTTCCTCACAAACAAACAAACGACACACACAAATAAAAAAAACAACACAACAGGTCAGAGAGAGGAGCTTCGGAGAGGCTCCACCACTCCCTTCACGTGATGCCGA